GCCTAGAGAAAGGTTCGCCGCTTCACTGTCGCAGACAGGCACACACAACCTGCATAACCGCGCAATGCTCATGCATGCAGGTCCGAGCTCAACGACAAATAGTGCATGTGCATGTATGAATGAACGCATCTGCAGACACAGTTGGCGTCAGCCGAAGCAAGCGACTCAAGAAAAGAAACATACGCAACAGCCACTACAAAGCAATGGAGGCGTCTGCGTGGGCGCCCCGCTTGAATCGTGTCCTATTGGACGACCAAGCACAACAGAAAATCTTCAAGATGCGCAGTAAGCATCCGGAGCCTGCAGACCAAGCGGATGCTACCAGTGTGCCGGTGCCTCCTGTGCTGGAGTGCCCTGAAGACCTTGCTGCGAGTCGCTAAGCTCGTGCAAAAAACCAGCGACACGTCTATGCGTTGCAGCAACACTGAACACAAGAAGACTTCTCGGGAAAAGGGAGAAGCAACTGCATTACAGGCTCTGTTTCTTTCTGTGATGTCCACTACCTGCCAAAATTGGCTGTGGGCATTTTGTTCTGTGCAAGCGCCATGAGCGTTTATACAATTCGAGCTGGCCTAGTTGTGCGCTGCTCTCCGCCTTCCCCTACTTCGCTCTTCTGCAAAACAACGCCGATCGCATATAACAAGCCTTCCGCTGGCACTACTATGCCTTCGAGAAAAACCAGCGCGTAGTTGCTGCTGCCTCATACCACTTAATGCGCCGTCCATACACTGCTTCACAAATTAACTGAGAACGTTTGCCATGTAGCCTTTGTCTCGCACAAGCCTTGAGCGCCGCCAAAACACCCTACTGAAGCAGATAGCACAGACGAGCACGCATAAAGCAAAGCACGCTTCAACTGCTACCCCCACTGGTATTCCATGCATCCCCACGAATGCATACACGCTGTGCAAAGAGGGACAAAAAACCAAAGCCAGAGAAGAGCTGGCTATATCGCGTCTTTAAGCCCGCTTACACGACGTTGATGGCCTCACCATGCGCAGACACGCAAATCATCCAACTAACCACAAAAATACTGCCTATGCAAACCTACTGATAGGCTAGGCTGATTCCGACCTGCGCACGCGAACAAAGTGCAGGCTAGCGTAATACCAGCTGCAGGACGATGCAACTGGCTGCATGGATGCTCCCTATCGGATTGCATCTCGTCAACAGACCAGTGGGAGTCAAGACTCTTCAAGACACAGAAGAAATACCTGGGGCGCGTGGAACTCTCGGTTGCTCTCTGTGTATCTTTGCCTACTGTATTGGAGTGCCGTGAGACTTTTGCCGTCCGGTGGCAACGGCGAGCAAACATCAGTGTCATACTCATGTCCTGCACCTGCATGAAGCGCACAACAGCTCAAGTGGTCTCGCCGAAAACCGGAATCAACCGCCTGCACTACAAGTGCCACTGTCGCCTGGCTTATCTGTCACATGAATGATAAACTGTCCGCATAGTTTCGCTTCGCGTCAATGCCATGAGCATTTATGCAACTGGGCTGGCTCGCATATTCCACGTCTGCCATGGATAATTCTAAACGTTCGCCATAAATCGCCATGTAGGTGCTGCTGCCTCTTACCACTTTCTGTGCTGCGCATATACTACCTGACGAATTCCATGAAAGCGTTTGCAGTGTCAGATGCTGTTGAGGAAACACAGCAAGCCCTGCAGAAACACTGCGAA